GCCTTTTCACCCCCCCCCCCCCCCACCCCCCCCCCCCCCTCCCCCGAAATATGATTTCGAGAATATTTTGCATTAAGGAACCTTTCACTTATTACTAGTCTATGGCTTTTGTCGCTTTCGACAATTCTATTTAAGATATCAACTTCCGGTTGTCAAATTCTTATTTTAGAAAAGGATTCAGATAGTTACAATTGAATAAGTTCAGCTCAAAAACCCTGGGGTATCGAATCTAAAAATTACATTTTACTGTAACCTGCAACAAATCATTCTCGACAATACATGTCAAACCATTCTTTAGATTAAAAATCACTCACACCCTATTATGTGTCGTCATTTCCGCATACTATCAAAGTCAATTTCGAAATCTCACAAATCTCGGGGGAAGTCTCATGTGGTGAATTATGGTTCGACATTTCATAACATTTATAAAAGACAAATTTGTAAATAAACAATAATCTTATTGTTCATGTTTGTTTATCTACACACATCCCAGGGGTAAACGTTTTCACTTTTCAGAATGATATTCTTACGTCAGGTTTGTCTACAATGGATACGTAGATGTTGATAAACGAAATATTGTAATGACGACTAAGTTTTCCTGAAATTCGTTGAACCAAGCAAAAAACTAAAAATACTTTAATAACCTTTAAAACAAAGCCCAAGATAATAAAAATCAGCTTTCCTCTGATTGTATACGAACATGGTGTTTAGGTATCATTCTGATTTACAATACAGGAGAATAAATGGCCAATCCTGGATATTTATCAAATTTTGCCCTCAAATGGACTGAAAATTTAATTTCTGTAACGTGGAAATATGTCGGGCTGCAGACGACATGACGACAGAACCGGTTGATCAATGTCAGAAAATGTCTGATTTTCAAATTACAGTGTGCACGCACCAAGTTAACCATACATAAACATGTCAGTTTTAAGATATGATTAATCTTTATTATCATTTTAACAGTGGAACTCATCTGTGTTTATGATATTCTGAAATTTCGACATTTCCAATATGTTGACCCTAGGTCATTGCATACTGACCTTTCAGTAAGGTCAAGTACTTGTGATATGCAAACCATATGAGTAAAACAAACAAGATTCAGATCTTTAATGCAGATTACGTGCTTCCTAGAAGATATGCAAGGTTGTTAGAAGACTTACAAAAAAAAATCATACAAAAGTCGGTCAAAGTGCCAGTTGTCAACTGTTGTACACATTCGCATATCATATCCTGTTTACTTTACCAGGCCTTGAAAAAATTCTGAAGAACAGAATAAAATGGAGTAAACTTCTAAGATCCGTAGACTAAAGAATAGTAGGATGTGAAATTTCTTGGGAGTAAGCAATATGGCGTACAATTCCTAGATCATTTAGATAGGCTACAGAATAGTAGGCCGTAGAATTCTTTCGTAACAGAACAATATGGCGTAAAATTCTAAGAAATAGTAGAACAGAAGGCCAAAGATCTGTGGTGGTTAAGAAATAGTCACTATTCAAAAGATGCGACGGACTTTGTAGATTTTGTCCCTACTATGGTACATTTGATACATTATACAAAGGGAACACTTCCCGGCGTCTAACCCGAACATCACTTTTATTGTATATATTATGGGCTACCAGTGTTTCTAGACAGTTCTGCTATCACTGGAATCGTTCATTTGGTTTGTAATTTCAACATGAATGTTTGACAGCCATCATTTTATTATTTTATATCAAAGCAAAATCTTTTTAAAACAAACAAACAACGCCTATCTTCATTTCTAAATCAGACATAAAAAATAGTCCCACCCACTTCGTGCTTACCAGGAAACAAAGAAATTAGCCAATGAGATAAGAGACAAGTGAAACACGTGATAAAATCACGTCATGTGACACGAGAACAAAAGAGAACTGTTACTGATAATTAAAATATTATGTCAGAAGACCATTTTGATCTGATTTTAACCAGAAACACGATAAATAACAACGGATCTGATTGCTCCAGACGTTCCTAATTACAGAATATTGTCTCGGCAATCTGACTGGCTAACTGAAACTCAAGCTACAAATCAAAACCGTGAAAACACAAACTGTTTTAGGAAGATCTAGTAAGAAATCAAATACAAACCAGCTGATGCATTTTGAATATTTTAAACATTAAACAGACAGGACAGTGTTTTTTCTAATCTGATTAAAAACGTAATCAAAGTCGTCTGTACTCAGAAACAGGTGAAGTTAGAATTATCACAGTGGCTGCATTTCAAATTTTACAATATTAGCCTGGTTAGATGATGAAATTAATGGGTATATTCCAATAATGCATAACAACCGTTTATGTACAGCAGGGGTCACCATGCCAAAGATGGCAGCTATCACAAAGGTATTCCGAGTCTTTGGCAACTAGCCCTTGATATTTTATATCTCCTGGGAGTAGATGGAATTTAAAATGATATTATATTTTCAGTCCACTATAATAATCAATGGCAAGATTCCAGACATCGCAATACCATCAACCAAACCAACATCACGTACCACACGATGGACCTATATTCCACCAACAAGTTTTATCCCACCCCATCGCCGACCTACCTATAATCCAGCCTACCCAACCAAAATGACCAAAGTGGTACAGCTTAAAAGGTATGGAATGTGTTCAAATTAGAGGATTTTTCAGCAAGATACATGTAGCAACGGTTATTAAGCAATTGGATAAAGAACATTTTAAGGTGATGTTACAATCTAATCCAGAATGGCAAACAATTTCAGAATGAATAAAGTGGTACATACACATTCAATAACGCCTGGATTGAGTTCAAATTAGAGGATTTTTCATCTAACGAAGCAACGAAGGTTATAAAGCACTGGAATAATGAATACGTTAATATTGTATGAATCTAAAAAGTAACGAGTTTTCTTATGTCAGAATGACCATAGTGGTTCAGCTTCAATAAGGTTTGGGATGAGTTCAAATTAGAGAATTTTCCATCAAGATACATGTAGCAACGAAGTTATAAAGCAATTAAATAACGAACACGTTAACGTTACGATTAGATCTAAAATAGCAAACAATTTCTAATGTCAGAATGACCATAGTGGTACAGCTTCAATAAGGTTTGGGATGAGTTCAAATTAGAGAATTTTCCATCAAGATACAATTAGCAACGAATGTATAACACACACGTTAATGTTACAATCTAAAATAGAAAACAATTTTCTGATGTCAGAATTGACAAAGTGTTACACCTGAGATAACGTCTGGAATGAGTTCAAATTAGAGGATTTTCATCACGTTATTGCATTAAAGTACTTACGTTAATGATTCTATGAGTGTTTATGAGGTGGAATTATTACATTAGACTGTCACGATGTTGTAATTATATATTTAACAAGGACCACACATACCATCATAAAACACCTGTACATCTACTGAGCTCATAAAACATCATTATGGGAATCTGAAATATAAACCAAAAACTGCAACAGTTGCACAAGCAAAATTTTTTTTAACATTCACGTTTTCAAAATATCAAAATATATCCATGTGTGATGTGTTCAAGGTTATCTGATTTTGTGAAACTAAAACCTGCGATCGCAGTTGACATCTTGTTGTTTTGGCCTATAGCTAATATGAACTTTTCGATTAATATCTTTTAATGTCTATCATCTCACTCTATTCTTACATCATTTCAAACGAGACGTGCTCACGAAAGCAACCAATAAAGTGAGCTGTCTAGTTAGAGCGCTGTATCACAATTAAATTCCGGTCGCATTTGGTTAGATCCAATTGTTCTGTTAGATAATTAATTAGCTTCTTTTGAATGTGAATCGCGACCATTTATTAATTTTGAGTCAGATGTCCGTGGTTCCTGTTATTATAGAATGCTTTAGCAATCGTTTAGACTATCGTAAAGCTGCTACCAATATCCAAGGGCCTTTGCGATAAGAATGTAATAAAACACTAAGTGGAATAATTACAAGATTGAAAATCTGATTAAAAATTGGTATGGTACAAATCGATGCTATCAGTTTCCCTCATAAACATAAAAAGTTAAGTGCAACTTTTTACGATTTTTTTAATATTTCATCACATCTTGGCAAGGATCTTCTTGAGTTTTTAATTATTTTTTTATTTTTTTAAATATTTTTAAACTTGTAAACAAAATACTGATTAATAACAATTAAGAACATACGTAGAAAACGTAAACGAACACTTGATAAAAAAAAATCTTACCAATTGAGATTGATTGATAAGCGTAAAATAGTAATAAAGAATTTTCAACATAAAACGAAGCAATAATCAACAGATGCTATCAGTTTTATTTGGTTCCAATTCAGTTATCTTATTGACATTTTACTCTATTCCAATGTGGTTTTAATTTCTGAGAGCAGTCTCTCTATAGGAATCGATTCAGTTCGCCCCATACGTTCGCCTATGGTCCGTTCGCCCTCTAGAAACGTTCGACCAAGGTCCGTTCGCCCTCTATAAACGTTCGACGGAGATCCGTTCGTTCCTTATGTAAATGTAAATGTCCGTTTTTTGAAATCTGGAATAATAAATATTCATAATGTTACATGATTTTTAAACCGACCATCCAACACACTCCCACATACGGTTTGTTTTGTAGATATTAACACACAAAACAGGTGCCTTGTTAATCGAGGTCAATTTGATATGTTAACCGCTTCATACGAACCTTTTTGGGGTAGTCCAATCTATTTATTGATACGATGGTGTAACTCTGAGCAACTGGTGGGATCTGTGATTTTTCCTTCTTCGGCACACTCTGTGAGATACAATCCTTCCATTTACCGCTAGATGCAATCAATCCTTGAAATTCTAGTTAAATCACAGATCAGACTCTACCATACATGCAAAACTCCGATACATTTCAATTTTTTTGCTCTTAAACGAGACATGTAGGCTTATTGATATTCAGAAAAGATCATAAAGAGCACACAAAAAACAACAAAACCATGCAGCCTTATCCATTCCATCGACAATTAATAATAAATTTCTCCATAAAAACAATTTATTTTATGAGAGGAAACGGGAATTGGGAACGAGAATATCCTCTTTAAGACAAGCAAATAGGTTGAACTGATCAACCTAGGCGATATTAGAAAGATTAAACTTACTCTCAGAGACAAGTATGATTTATTTTACAATTACATCTATCTATAATCAATATCCAGCTATCTACTATTTTTTCTTGAAGAGACCGTATATTTATGTGTGCTTTACGGAAGCCTTTTACGGCCATTATATTTTAGTACATATATTTTAATAACATATTATTTCACAATTATATCCTTTGTCTTGATGCGGCTGAATATTTCTGCATGTTTTATGAAAGCCTTTTGCGGCCCTTATATTGTAGGCTACACACAGTGGTTGTTTTACGTGTATGTTTGATGGGTGGATAAAAATATTGACAATTACTTAAATCTACAATAATATCCAGCTATCTACTATTTTGTCTTGAACAGGTCGTGCTTGCTTTACGGAAGGCTTAAGTGGCCATTATAATGTGGGCAATATATGGTGTCTTTATACGTGTATGTTCGATGGACGGATTAAAATTATTTGACAATTCCATAAATCTTTTATTGATTTTCATCTACTGTACGAAATTTCCGAATATTTTTTAAGTTAGATTACCGTGTCTGTCGGATATTTCCGTAAATTTATGGAAGCCTAGTTTGACCTCTATTTCCATTTCTTTGTTTCTTTTTTCATTATTGTGATTCAGAGAGCGATTTGCTAATTGGCAAGTTCCAGAGTGCCCGATCCATGCATAGTTTGAGATAATAAGCTATCATTGGGATTTTCAGCTGGATAATATTCGTGTACATGTTTATGTGTTAAATGGAAAACTTATCTGGTGGTTCTGATGAAAAGAAATTCCGAGGCCCCTCGATCGTCACGGAATGTGCACGAATAAGAAATTGGGAGTCGGAAAAAACGAAACGAATAAACTTTACCACTCGGAATTGGTTGGAAATGTTTTTGTAACCCTGAAATGATTTCTTAAATAAGTTATCCGTATCGCCATGTTCTTTTTCTAAGTGTAACAACATTATGAAGTCGGTT